AAATAACATGTATTAACCTATAGACACATGGGCATCTAAATACAAATGTCAAAATATATTATTAAAGTGTTTTTTTGTGAAATTTAGTATTAGATAAAAAAATTGATAATGATACATTAATTGACAATGACATTTGACCATTATGGCTATTTCGGGTCTCTGCTGAAAAATGCCGGCACCAATCAAAATTAATTGGATTCGTTATTTCGCGACTTTTATTAGAGGGTCTCTGGGTGCATCTAGATATCATTTTATTCTTGTTTAACATTCGATGAACAACAAGGATAACATGCAGATATTCCGTGAATTCCTGAACGCAGCCCTGCGAAGGATGAATCCGAAACTGCGAGTATAATACTCACGCGTGTAATACGGGCACTCATAAAGTGACGAAGTGATAAAGTCGGTATACCCGCGTGATACCTGTGGAATCGGTTTTCATCCGTGTGCAACGAATGACTGCAAGCCGGCGGACGAGCGGGACGATTGTCGATTTGCCTCGTTGAAAGCCGGGCTTCCAGACGACACGGCCGCCAATGTATATGCCGACGTTTAGCGAATGCATCGGCTAGCATGAATGCCGGGCCAATGTTGGCCATATATGAATATGCAGTGTGATTAATTTCCGCGTGGTGCACGCAATTAGAAGTGACCCATATAAATATAGATCAATATTTAGTAGGTAAATGTGCGCCAACGTTACGAATAAGATAGACAGCCGCGAGCAAGAGATAGCTACTCTGCTTAAAAAATCCGATAGATAATGATAGAAATAGATTTAAATTTTATTGAAATTTTATCTACCTTTATATTGAAGTTATCGTTTCTATCGGACTCACATTTGAGCTATTATAAGTTATCTATTTCTATCGTTTCTTAATAGTATATCTTACTTAAACATTAAATACACTTAAATACAAAGGACAAGTACAAAGGATAAACCACGCACTAATCTTATGGAAAAGTGGCCCCTGTTAAAGTAGAAATAACCTGTGCGAAAGTATACTTTATGAGATACTGATAAAAAAAAGTTTCAATGGCGTCAACCTTTTACCACCGCTAGTTTTTACACTGTCAGCTCATAAAAACTGCTTGAAACCACTTTATTTTAGAAAATCATTAAAGTACGCTTCCTTGCTCACCCTCTCTGTCTCTCTCTTTCTCTCTCTCTCTCTCTCTCTCTCTCTCTCTCTCTCTCTCTTTTTGTTATATTGAAGGTGCCTATATTTGGTACATATTCCAATAAGTACAAGTCCCTTATATTATATGAAAAATAAAAGTAATACGGAAGACTTCGTAATTGAGACTCCGGCCAACAATAATTATATTTTTGTATATGTATGTATGTATAATACATGCATAAAAAATGTTGTTTATCGAAGTCCTCCATATTATTTTTATTTTACATATAATATAGGGAACTTGTACTTATTGGAATATGTACCAAATATAGGCACCTTCAATATGACAGAGAGAAAGAGAGAGAGAGAGAGAGCAAGGAAACGTATAACTTTTATAATTTTCTAAATAAAAAATAAAGTGGTTTTAAGCAATCTTTATGAGCTGACAGTGTAAAAACTAGCGGTGGTAGAAAATTGACGCCATTGAGACTTTTTCTTTATCAGTACCTCATAAAGTATACTTTCGCAGAGGTTATTTCTATTTTGACGGGGGTCACTTTTCCATAAGATTCGTGCGTGGTCCTTTGAACGTGTATGTTTTTTTATATAACTTATCGAGTTATCTAATCCAAACTGAAAATTATAATTTGTTACCTAATTTATTATATTTGTAAGAAATATTAAAATTATTTATATATAAAAGACACAAAATTTCTAAAATTAAAATATTGCATAATAAATCTTATATAAACTGAAAACATTGTACGATATGCAATACCAATTTTGACTAAATTATGGCCAAAGATAAACATTACTCAAAGTGACTTTTAAATAACATACTAAATAGAGAAAAAAAAAAGATAACAAATCTGATATTTACGAACCAAAAACACGATAGAATTGTATTGATTTTTTGCTTATCTAATTTTGTCGGATCTTTTAAACAGGATAGCTGTGTCGCAGAAACTGTGCTGCAATCATCATTTCTTGCGCGCAGTTTTCATTTAAAAGAAATCGGGAACATTGATTTCACATTGCAGCTAAAAACAGTCGTATAAGGCAAATGGCGCAAGATTGTTAATTTACATTCATTTCTTTCACCAAGTAGCTCGTGTTCCTCCTGCAGTCAATCTCAAACTCCTCGCTACGCATTTATGTATGAGAAACTTTAGTGATTATTATGCTCGACCGTGCTATCTCTCGCTGCGATTCACTCGGAATACGCGCGAGGCAGGTAAGGACCGCGTGCTTTAAATGAAAATTTTCCGTTCCACTCTGCATCGCAGCTCTTAGCATTTTTACTTCACATTAACGGCAATTCCTTGGCGGTATAAGATTGCGTTTCGTCGCTGTATTCACCCTCTCGCTTCTCATTTTGTTTCTCCCTCTTTTCCCCTGCTCTCCTCCGCAGCTACCCCACCGCTTTACCAATGTCCACGACGTAGATGGGACAGACGAAAATGGCAACGAGGGTAAACTGGCTGTGAAAACGTCACCGTCGTGTTAATGGCAATACACCACGCTGAGTCCACGGGCCGGGGGTTGAGGGAGGCGGGGAAGGGGTGAGCGGAGGGAGAGCGAGCAGGGGAAAAAGAGGAAAATTTTGTTACGTACTCGCACGGCCGTTGCCGAGCCGCGCCCGAACCCCGCGCGTAGACGGTAAGTAAATCGAGTAACGTCGTTAAGTGTGCCGGCACGGATTCTCCGCTCGTCATCATGCCAAAGAAATTTATATCGCTTCGGAAGAGGACGGAGATTACGACGAATGTCGTGATATATCGCACCTCCGCGATCCTCCTGAAATCTTGATTCCCGCTGTCAGTATCCGCCGATTAATCCTCAAAATCTAATATGACCCTCCCATCGGTAATATCGGTCCACGATGCGAACCTTGATTTTCCTTTAGGTATGCTATTACTCGCTTGAAACCCGTTGAATTTTTATATTAATCTCTAACTCTCTGAAGACAGAGAGAGAGAGAGAGAGGGAGAGAGTAAAAATAAGGCAACGTCGAAAGGCAAGAAATTGCATATTTTCTAAATAAGGAAATTACTTAAAATAAAGATAAAAGAAACACGATTTTAGAGGTTTTCCTTTGAATAATGGGTTGTCATGGCGTTTCGAGAGAGATAAAGGTGGTGGTAAGAGAAAAATACGAGGTCTGTTGCGCAAGGGGCAATCGCAGTATTTGCGAAGTTCTTGATTTATATATCAAGTATCTCAAAAAGCAGTAAATCGACGTTCTTCTTTGAAAGTTTACAGTGAAAGTTATCAGTGAGTAAAGAAAGAAAAAAAAGAGATAGGGCTGTTTCTTACCTAGAGAATATCGCCAGTACTGGCAGCTCTTGTAGTCCTTGTCGCTGGTCCGATCCGACTGTTCGGCTCTGTGGCCTGTGGTCTGAAATAAATGATCTTTCGGAAGGCTTTGCGGAAGTTATCGCTGAGGAAGGCGTACAGGAAGGGGTTAATGCAGCTGTTGGTGTAGGCGAGGATATGACTGACTACCTGCACCATCACCATCGCCGTGGTAAGCGGGAACTTATCCAGGGACTTCATCACCAGTATCACCTGCAACGTGACGTTGCGGATGACATCGTGGACAGGGGGACGGGGGTGTATACATAAAGAAAAAAAGAGCAAAAAGAAAAATCAGTCCCCTGCGGACGGGCGCCCCCTTTACCTGTATGGGGAACCAGCAGATGGCGAAGACGCCGACGACGACGAAGACGAGCCTGGTGACCCGCCTCCTCCCGCGGCGGCTCTCGGCGCTGACGCGCGCGGCGCGCCACAGCTTAACCAGCATGAGCATGTAAAAGATGCTTATTAGCACCAGGGGCAACACGTAGCTCATCAGGAAGAACGACACCTGATAGGAGGTCCAGTCGTCCTGATCCAGAATCCGGCAGGCCGTCAGATTCGTTAACGGGCCGTTCTCCTCCTGGAATACGAAGTGCATCTACGAGTGGGCGGTGTATCCGTGAACGGACAGCTGGATTAAGTTGGGACGCGAAGAGTCGAGGCGCCGTTACGCCGCGTGCTTACCTCGCCATGAATTACGAGCGCGGGCGCGGACAACGCCAGGATTACCAGCCATACGACGCCGATCGCCCGTATGGCGTGATTCTCCGTCCTCCATGACATCGACGCGATCGGATGGACCACCGCCAGATACCTGCGAGCAATTTCCCTAGCTTGATGCGACTTATTGTTTCTGAGATCGAGTAATATCATCATCAGCTTGAATCGCTAACAGCCGCGGAATTTAATTACTCGCGTTTCAGCAAAGTTTTCTGGAAAACGGTGACTCATAGAAAGGCGCACTTCAAATTAAAACTGTCGTCTGCCACTCCGCTTCCCCCTTTTCTTTTTTAATCTATAGCGTGAAAGTTTGGACCCCGAGAATCAGTTATAATTTAAAAAGTGGCACTTAACCTCCGAGGTTCAATTTACAAATTACGTGGAAGTTAATTCTTGCCTCGTGCATCGGCATTTAAAAAGCAACTTGAAGATAACCCCTGCCTTTATTCTTTTTATATTTCCCTTGAGAAAAAAAAGTTAAGCTGAAAGAGGGCTGAAAAGTGCTTTTTGCGACACAGTTAGTGTATCGCTCTGACTGAAAGTATATAGCATGCAGAAAATCGATTAAGGAAGGAAGATCAATTACCTGCTTGCACGTGAATTTTTAACTTGCTGTCGACGGGCAAGCATTAACGAGGATGTAACAGCTTGCGAGAGATTGCTGTCCGGCTTAATATTAAAATTTCGACGCATTTTTTAATAAAATTTAATAAAATTTTTAATAGAATACTTCTTTTTAATCTGCTCCTATTTTAAATGACACACCGTCGATATCGAGTTATAATCACGGATCCGACATCATTATTCAGCGTGCATTATTCATTATTCAACGAAACAACGCATGGGATTAACAACGCAGTAGAGATTAACAACGTAGTTTGTTCTCGCGAAGAGATAATATGTTATCACAAATAACGTTAGTAATTTATGTAATGGCATCCCGTGAAGCTGCATCTCGACGACCGGAGATTGAATAATGAAAATTGAAGTCGCTAATTTAATCGAGTTCGTGCGGGGGGAACGTGCGGTGGCGGGGGGGGGAGAAGGAGGAGGGACGTAACGGCTCGCTCCGATGAAATATCGCCGGCAGATATTGGAGCTAGGCGACGAATATCTACAATGGTCTACGTCGCTTGAAATTGGCACGTTCAAATTGCCTGAGATGAATGTATCAAACGACATATATCCCGTTGTAGTCCGCAAACTGTACGCATCGCGATTCAAAGCGGCAACAATGAATCAAATGTCAAACGAAAAGCCCGCGGGGCGCTTTGCGAGGCTGCTAGGAAAAGTATGTTTGTTTCATGTTGAAAGGCTAGCGCCCTAGGTTAGAGATAACAGGGCAGGGATAAGGAGGATAAAGGACAACGATACGTATGAGGGAACTATTGCGTGCGCGATGCAATATTTCTTTTCCGCTCTCGTTATCATATATCGCCGCAAGTGGAGAATATTACATCATCTCGTCTTTCAGTCAAAAGAAAATATATCCTTTGAATTATCCTTCAATCTAATAAAAGAAAACGTATATCCCTTGAATAATCCATTAACCGATTAATCTTTCGCGATCAGATATCTACTAGGAAATCGCACTTTGGCACAATTTTAATAAAATCAAATTATCTAATAAAAGTTAGTAGCAAATATATTTAATATTAAAATGAAAAGTTATGAACAAAATAATATTTGATAAAATTTTTGTTAAGAGGAACGTAGCTGGCTGAAAGAAAATTTTTAAAAATTAAAAACAAAGCGTTCTGTATGCGAATCGATCATCATTTGTGTGTTATTTTACATAAACTTTTCCGACAAATTAATTCAAAATTGTATGTTGCTGTAAACATGTATCGTTTACGTTTATGTCAAAATTAACTTTGATCGAATATCTTAATAAATAAAGCAGAACGAAGCAGAAGCTTTCACTTGTTGAATGTAGAAGAGAGTTGCTGAAAATCCGATTGCCTAAATCGTACATCGATCATCACTTAATACAATCAACATTTAGTCAGAAAAATATAAAATAAATAAGAAATCAATGATGTCGACAAAAATTTAACAAGTAACAGTCTAGTTTTGTACGTGCTAATCACATTTTAAAAAATTAAGTACAATTAATGTTAATTATTCAATTTATGTAACTGATAAATAATCATGAAATTTTATTCTAAATTTTTATATTTTTATAAAAGAAAGTTTATTCGAAAACGTATTAAATTTATTGCATACTCATATTTACAATTATTAAAAAAATTAAATTAATATTTTTATAAAATCAAGTTCTCTAAATCGTACCATCATAAAGTAAGTTTAATAATAATTAATATGAATAAAAATGTCAATTGCAAAAATAAGTTTAAGCCATTTTTATTTCGACACCCTTACTTTTTTGTTATTGGTATACGTTACTCGAGCAACATAAAGTCTATAATCAGAACGTAAGACTTCTTAAAGGCATCTTTGCGAGAAACGTTTGAAAGGCGTCTAAAAGACGTCAGAGTCGTCTTATGTCCCGATTTTGAACTGTATTTTAACTGGACAATTGTAAAATACTCGATTTTCTGATAATTTATTAAAATTAAGTTAATGATTTTTATTATTAATCTTATATTTTTAATTACTTTTATTCATAAATTGAATGCTTTCAAAGGAGCATGTATGATTTAGATGATCCACAGATACGATTTAAGCGATTGGTTTTTAGATCATGTCTTTTGTAGTATATTACAAAAAGATTATAATAAATTAATTTGTTATTAATGAAAAATTAGACATGTGTAGTAATATTAGTAATAATAAGTGCCTTAAAACGTTAAGCTACAACTTCTAATAATTTCATTTGAATACAGATCAGTACTAAATGGAAAATATAATTAAAAAATATCTTACGTATTCGGCAACTTTCTCCTTACATTAAATTAAGGAAATGAAGCAAAAATTTGTAACGTTTGCTGAAGCATTTACGTCCGAAAATAGTTGAAACGCTTTGGAAATATGCGGCTAACAAGTCAGTCTCTGTGTTGATTTTACTGTTTTCATATCCAAAAGATAATCTGCCGTTTGAGAGATTCTTCGAAAAGCATTTATATCCTTCTATGAAAGTGTTTCCCGTTTTGTATACTACAAAGTCACTGGCATATTACGAAAATTTCTGCTACGATTCTGTGTACTCTTGCATGATTGCAGTATTGATTCTGCTATGTCAGTGACAACAAACAATATTTGCGTACAAATTTCTCCAACAAAGATAAAAGTACAGAGAATCCTTTTGTGCACATCGAATTTTTATTTTGAAAGAACAAACGTTATTCTGCTTTTAACTTTTGCCGTGGGCAAACGTTTATTCGCTTTATACGTATGGCTCATATATAGTTAGATTTATGATAATTAATTCGAAAGTTAGATTCGTGTAATATAGATGTCGTTAATTCACGTTATCCAGGATCAGTCTCACCATCGTCAATTAATTTGATCGGTCGATTACATTTACGAATTACGTAAAACTTTATAAGCTGCTAATCCCTAACTTAATTTCTGAATTATTTTAATTGATCGTATTACTTAATTATTAATCAAAAATGTATTTTTACATAAATAAGTTATAATATTTGCAAAAAATGTGCAAGAAAAACGAAATAATATGCAAATTAGTTATATAGAAATAATATGCGAATTAATATGCAAAACAGTTTTAAGGGGAGTTTCACCTTTGCCGGCCATAAAATTGGTCTTTGATTCATGATTTTTTTTTAAGAAAATCTATTATATACAGTAAAACGCGGGTTTTTGCATAAACTTATGTATTATTTGAACAGCAAAAATATATTGTTTATTTATACAAAAATGTATTATAATGCCTCCAAGTGGCGATTAAATGTGGCATGTTTTTCGAGCTGACGAAAGTAATTACGAAAAAACAAATTAAGATATTGACTTGATTCTTTTTTCCTCTTGATGCTAATACTTTAACGTATGGCGTAAACTAAAATCATGACTTTACAACAAACATTCAATTTGTTATTAATAAAAATTTTTAAAATTTTTAGTGCAAAAAAGAATTTTTTTTCAAAAATGCTACCATTTTTACAAATTTCAGGCAATTGATATTATTTTAGTTCACGCTATGCGTTAAAGTATTAGAATCAAGAGGAAAAAAAATCAAGTCGATATCTTAATTCGTTTTTTCGCAATTACTTCCGTCAGCTTGAAAAACATGCCACATTCAATCGCCACTTGGAGGCATTAAAATACATTATTATATAAATAAACAATATTTTTTTTGCTGTTTAAATAATATATAAGTTTATGCAAAAACCCGCGTTATACAATAGATTTCCTAAAAAAAATTCATAAAATAAGGTTCATAAATCCATAATATTACGATCAGCAAAGGTAAAACCTCCCTTAAGTTTTGTAGTTGACAATTAAATCGACCGATCAAGCGAAGACAGCCGCGGTCTTATTTCCAATTAACTTGATCAGCTGATTACATTTAAGAATTGTCAATTATTAAACTTAAAACTAATCATTCCTAACTTAATATTTGAATTTAGTTTAATTAAACATATTATTTAATTAAAAGTATCATATTTTACATAGATAAGTAATAATTTGCCAAAAATTGACAAAAATAACGAAATAAGACGATCAGTTTTAAGTTGTACAGTTAATAAAATTTTATAAATGTAATCGGTCGATCAAATTAATAGGAGATAATGAAACCGTCTCCTAAAGTTCTTCGAGCAAGAGTTAAAACACTAGGGACCGTTTTTTTTATATCCGCCATATGTAATAAATAAAACGAAAGAAACGGGTGTAGTAAAACTGAATAAAATAGCTGTCTTTTTCATGTTTTGTTTCATGTTTACTTTCTTACTTTATCTCACTTTATCTTTTGTAAGCTACTGTTCTCTATTAAAGACGATGTCGTAATTCTTAAGTCCGTATCACACTGCGTATTGGAGATCGAAGATTGCGAGTTATGGATTAAAATTCGACCAATTAGATCAGAAGGAAACGGATTGAGATTAAAATTATCCGATTCGAATCTCTGATTAACTTGATCAGAGATTCGAATCAGATTTTAATTTTAATTCGTTTCCTTCGGATTGGTCGAATTTTAATCTCTGATTACATCTAAAAATTGCCAATTACAAAACTGAAAATTAATCATTCCTTAATTATTTTTATTATTCGCAATTTCTTAATTATTTTAATTAATCAATCTGGTCGAATTCTACAATAAAGTTATCAATTTGCAATAGTCAATCGAATGCATAGTGTGACACGGACTTCATTTAAAGAACTCTAACGTTCTGCGCATTGCTACGCACAAGCAGGCATTACTAGAAAAGATATTTTGTTCATTTTTCTTTCGTGCAACCTTAGTTTATTAATAAAGATATTATGGTTTAAGCTTAAATCTTTTCTTTTTATTGTGCTTCGCCTTAAACATTAAACAGACAGCGTGTAATATGAATACTCTGTATGTAGTTAACAACAATATTATTTTGTTTTGTACTTGTTGATAGCTATATTGTCTACACCCGACATATCTAGCAACCTTATCTGTGAATACATATTTTTACTTCAATATATTATTTGTACGTGACATTCATTACAAACTGCATTATAAACAGCAAAGTCTAATTTTGGAAGTGTGAGGAAAAACGAGCATATGGTGTGAAGAAATAAAAAAGGTATATATTTAATACAATTAAAATACTGCAGAAAATTTTGACTTTGTTAATTAACTGAGTCTTCTTTACCAGTTGATGTATATTAAATAAATAATAATTAAGTTAAGATATGACAATAGCAAAAAGACACATAACAATATAAAATACAGATCGCCATCGTTAAAGTCGTTAGATTTAAAAAAAGTATATAATGAATAATGAATATCATTAGCAGGTAGCATGAAAACTGTGTGGGAATCATTACATGACATCAAATCATATAAAAAGTCTATAATATTCTCATGCGAGAATAAATTAAGTCTAGTGTTGTAAAAAAAAATTATTATTAAAATTTGTGTGCAGTTTACATCAATATATGTAATGACCAATGCTAGATTAAATGGCCAATGCTAATTTTCGATGTGATTGATGATGACGAACTGACTTCGCTGATTGATGACCAATGTTAATTTTGAAAGTTTTGTCAGCGCTATTACAGCTCGTTATCGCAAACAATGATCTTAATGCACCAACCTGTCGAGACTCATCAAGACGAGGGTATAAATGCTGGCGTAAGCAGTGACGATGATCAGATACTGGACGATCTTACACCAGACATTGCCGAACGGCCAGTAGGGGAGCACAAAGTCGGTAGCCGTGAAGGGTATGCAAAATATAACAAACAACAAGTCAGCCACAGCGAGGTTAATAATCAGAATGTTCGTGGTCGACCTCATGCCGGGATTCGCCGCCACCACCACGATCACTAGCAGATTCCCGGCGAGGCCGAGAATGCCAATTATCCCAAAGAATAAAGGTACCACCACCACCACGATACTGTGTACCAGTTCGAAATCAAATTCGTGGTAATAATATTTGCAGTCTTCGTTACCCGCGAGCGAGGTCTGCGTGCTGCAGTTGAGGAGCGCGTCGCTCACATTCACTCCTTCCGGCATATTCAAATCAAGGAATTTTCGGCTCATTTCCATTTACTATTGTTGTTAAAAGTAAATGTTTTAGAAGCCAAACTAAGATAATCTCTAATTGTTTTGTGTTTTTAATTTTATGTATATATTGGCACATATTAATTAAAAAGGTACCACGATTTTATATCAAATGTTCAAAGTTCTATAAAATGCACTGCACTGAACACTTTGACTACGTATTAAAGAACGAAATTGCAATATAATCTTTAATGAATATATAATTTCACGTTTAACATATTTTATCGTTTAATTACCGCCAAATAAGAAGTTTACCTGCCGATATGTAGTTTACATTCGTAGACAATCACGGAGTAACCGGCAATCATTTCATCGATTCGTTTCGCGGTCATTGATCGTTGAAATTCGCGCCGCGACGCGCTAAAAACGCGGCAAAACAAAATCGAAAGTTTAGTTCGCATTTCGCGTTTTTTATTCACTCTTCCAGCATGAACTTGAAATAGTTTTGCTGTGTCGAAAATCACACTTCCGACGAAAATTGTTGGCGAAGTTTGATGATGGAATCACGGGGAAAGTGTCCCGCGCACCGTCGCCGACCGCGTACAATCGCCGACTGCGATAAACCGCTAGCTCCGGGGGTGGTTTCGTACTGAGGATCCCCGATGGTCGACAGTACGGCGCAGGAATGGATGAGGCTAGATACGCGTGAACGACGGGGGAAATTTGCGGCGCCATCTGCTACGCATGTCGATACGCCGAAATAAGGATGCTTACGTACAAAAGAATGTATATATAACGGGAGATAAAAATAAGATATTTATTTAAACAAGTGATTTTAGATAACCAGAGTAAAAATGATTGAGAAAAAAATGATTATACTGGCAATCAATTATCACACAATTTTAAATGAAAGTGAATTTTCTCTTCCTTATTTAAATCTTTATTTATTATTTATTACAATTATTTATTTATCATTTACTTATTTCATTTATTACTGTTGCTTTTATTATTTAATTATTTATTTTTAATTTCTATTGATTAATTCGGTCTTTCATTGCATATCAAATGTTAATATATGTGTATTGCTGTTAGTCGGGATTATGTATTTTTATAATAACTTTTTCCAAATTTCCTTATTTATAAAATATTATTTTGATAATTTGTAGACAAACTTTTTAATTATGATAAAATCAACACATACACACATCAATGTTAAACTTAATTGTTAGATTTTTAGTTTCTCGTTAATTTTCTTTTTTGAAAAATCCGAGTTAATTTGAATACGATCTCGCCGTTGAAACAATTCGTATGATAAAACGTTTTGTTCCCTAACTTGTATGACAAAATGTTTTTTCTTTAATTGTATGTCACAAAGTCTAATATGTACATCACCAACTTATTAATTCTTTTCGTAGTATTATATGACATTACACGTTTAATAATGTATTTTTGGCATTCAGAGAAGGAAAAGATAAGACAAACAATTATTAGACATATAACAGATACACGCAAAAATAAATGGAGTACTTGTTATGCGAGGATAAAATATAATCATCCATTAATGTCAAAGCACTCAAAAACTAGTTTCCGAACTTTTATGATATATTACCCTTTTGCAGATTTGTTCAGTAATTAAAAGCATATTCTTTCTCTCTTTTTCTTTCTCTCTCTCTCTCTCTCTTTCTCTCTCTCTGTCTAAGAATATTACTCTATTAATTAGAATATTATTATAAAACGTATAATACAAAATTATAATATATAATACAAAAATTTGACCAGCTATAATTTATTCATTATTTTTAGCTAAAACAGACTTTTTAAATAAAATTATATTATTAATTTATAAATTTTAAAATATTTAATTAAAAGTCTAATTAGAAAGTTATTATCAGTAAATAAAAAGAATAAATAATATAATAAATTGAATTTATTCTTTACTTAATTTGAAATGCAAATTTTGTTTATTTTAATAATTATTTATTAGATATTAATTTTTTTTACATAATAAACCACATCCATTTCAGCAAGTAATTTATAAAGTTTTCAGTTTTTAACACTTTGACTGCCATGTCATTCAAGGTTGGAAAGTAACATTATTATTTATGATGTCGCGCCGTTATTATTATAGTTATTTCTTCGGTAACGTTACTTCTTTTTTTTGTAACTGTAACGGTAATGTACAGTAACATTTTCTCGGTAATTACTTTAACAGAGTCTGTTATTGTTACTTTTAAACTAATTTGTGACAATTTTTGTAAATTTAATCTTCAATATTTGATCGATATTTATAGTTCGTTATTATAGACTGCGTTTAGCAGACAAAATAGCTCAGTGAACGCTCAGTGATTCTTCATTACAATTGACTTTTACACTTTAAATCCTTTTAAGTGAAGAACTAAAGGTAAGATCCAAACGTACGTATTAAAAAACGCTGAGCGCTCACTGAAACTTATCGTATAAAAGTTTTTAAATATAAAATTAAGAGTAAAAAAGGTAAAATAGAAATAAAAAAGTATAAATAAAATATTTAAACACTGTATTCGACACATTTAATGGAAATTTTATTTACATCTGAACATTTTAAAGTTTTCTTAAATTTTTTATGGTTTTGTAAATTTAAATTAAAAGATTTTATTGCTATTATTAATATCTCAAAAAATATTTAAAAGTAGATTTTATTAATATTGAAGTAATGCGTACCAAGCCGACACGGATGTTGGTGTGTATTAATTTCTTACAATATTCAGCCACACGCAAAATGCGCGCCGCATATTTGTCGGTCTTAAAACGTAGTTCATTATATGAGACCGGAATCCACCTCCCGTCTGGGACCTGAGGTGATATTTTTCGCAATAAATTCTTTACAAATTTGGGGAGAGGAAATTCTTATAGATGCATGTTAGCATCAAAGAGATTAAATTGCTAGTCAATTTAATTGTTACAAGTGGATTCCGGTCTCATGTGCAACTGTGTTTTAAGACTGACAAATATGCAGCGCGCAGTTTGTGTATGGCTGGATATTGTAAATTAATACACACCAACATCCATGTCGGCTCGATAAGCATTACTTCTGTAAATAATTGATTTATTCTTACAAGCCTATAAGTCCTTTAAATTATTTGAATTTTATATAATCTAATCTTAAAAAAGTAACAAATCGTTATATTTCAAATAATGATAACAATAATGAATTATTTTTAAAAGTAATTTTTATAGGCTTGATATATTTAGGTGACGTACGAAAAATCACAAGGGTCCCATCACTCATATATAAGTGACGATTTTATTTACTCAATTAAAAATGATTTTGCTAAGTATTTAAGACGTATTGTAGAACCAACACAAATTACATTAAGAAAACAATAAAGAATTAAAATAATACACTACACTTATTATAAGCTCAAAATCAGCTTGGCAATCAGGTGTAAGTATTATTTAGGAATTTTACAGGTATGTAAATTATTATTGGTATAATTAATATATATGTATATACTTGTATTTTTTATACGCATATATTTTTATATTTTTATTAAATTTAACGTAATTTTTTTACTTTATTTTCTTTTTTTTTCTCTCTACCCAAAAAAAATTTATCTAATAACGTCAATATATTTTAGGTATATTTGTTATTTGTTACATTTTGTAAAAAGTAGAACATGTTAATGTATTAGAAGATCTTTTTCGGTAGAGAGAACTCAACTTTTGAATATTGATCATATGTATCGTATTGTACGTATCAATTGGCTTAGATACATATATATATGTGCACTCGATTGCATAATATTTTTTGAAGTAACAATTAATTTATATCAAATAATTAAGTATGATTATAGTTAAGAAAAATATATTTTTTTATAATAATAACATATCTCACGAGATATACGTTATGTGCTGTAAGATCACGCGCGCCAATGATCACGGCGTCCGGATTATCAAATCAATCTTAAACTTTGAGCCGAGTTTCTTCAAAGGAGTTAAACTTCTGCTTGGCTTGGTTCGAGGTTTGACTTGATAATCTGAACGCATCTTTACGATTACTGAAGGATGAGCACGAGCATCAAATCAAAGTACAGCAGGAGCAACCAATTGACAACATATAATCACAAAATTGACTTTAAACAAAGTAAATTTTAAACAAATTTTAATAAAAGTTATTTTTCAACGGTAGTTAGAGTGAGCCAGATTGGATTGAATTTCTGAAAATGATTCTGGCAGAAATACCCTAAATGATGTCAAATGAATACCCTTGTCCCTTAATAAATGGATTTCAAGCGAGAAGAAAGTTTGATATCATAAATGTTAAATAAAATTATATATTATATCAAATAAAGTTATATATATTATATATTATATTATATATCGCTGTTTGTGTATTAACGGTCTAAATAATATGGTCGTATATCAAGAAAGGGTTTGAGGGAAGCAAAGCTTCCCATAAGTAGAAGGAAGGGATCCAAGAACCGAAGTTCTCCAATATGGAGAGAGAAATAGAAGCGGAACTTCTCTTTGTAAAAAAGTAGATTCTAATTCAAAGAGAACATTGAATATGAATAACAGAAATTAAATTAAAGATATGTATTCTAGTTTAAAAGAAAAGTGATATAAGTGACTGATATTTATTTGGAAAAGCATCGGAAATTTGATTCTAATTCTTCATATTATCGAGCAATATTTTGCTTCTAGAATATTTGAAACTCGTTATGTAAGTCGTCAAGACTCAAGGCGAAGTCCCTCTTCGCTCCGTTCACCCTCCGTTCACTTTGCGAGAATTCGATGACCTTTAAGAATCCTGCGACAGTTAAACAGAACAATTTGAGCAGCAAGCCGAACCACTTGTATTTCTCTTACGCCAGGTAATTGCGACAGAGCTTCAGTAAAAATATCAGTCAGTTAAATAAAACGTGAAGTTTAATTATTATAAATTCTGTTTCTTTTCCTCGTCATTTCCGCCGGTTTAAGGGGAGAACCTGGTTTAGCATGCTGAAAAAAAGGTGTCTATTTTGAAATTTTTTTTTAAGAAACTATTCA